TGACCTGGATGAAGAACCTCTCTCCCCGGTACGGCTCCTGGGAGACTGCCTGGACCTTCCCGGGTGGCATCCCCTGGGGAGCGGGGAGCCGCGGGGCCTGTCCTGCCCCAGGGGCGGAGGAGCGTGGGTGGGCGCGTGTGCAGCCTGGGCCCAGCAGGTGGCGCCCGGTGAGCATCCGCCCACCAGCTCTCCCTTCACCCACGGACCCAGCGTTTGACTGGTCGTCTCTCTCTGGGTTCAGGAGAGGGGAGGGGAGGAGGAGGAATGCTTGTTCTCACGCTTATGTTTATCCGCAGGGTTTGGGACCCCCTGAGAGGGGACCTTCTGCCTTGCATGGTTGGCTGCATCCCAGCAGCTTCCTGGGGACGGACCTCCTAAGAGCCTTGGGCCCCCTGGGGGAGGGGCTTCCTTGGGGTGATGCCCTTGACTCCAGAGCTTCCCCCCCATTAGCTGCCGGGGTCATCTGCTCGTCTTCCTTCCTTCCTTTTTTATTTAATTAATTAATTTATTTATTTATTTAAAATTCTGTTTTTTTATTTTTAAATTTTATTTATTTTGGGGGGTAATTAGGTTATTTATTTACTTATTTATTTAATGGAGGGATGGGATTGAACGCAGGACCACGTGCATGCTAAGCCCAGGCTCTAACCCTAAGCTGTACCCTCCCACCCCTCCCTCCTGAGGATGTTGTTTTAAGATTATCCAGTGAATACACCTTCAACGCCACCAGCCTGAAAAAGGAGTAGTAAAAAAGGACAACTGGTCATAGTCAGTCTCCAGAGAGCGCTGCTGTTAATTGCCATACATCCCTCCCCGAGTACTTCAAAGAAAATGAAGGGTTTTTTAATTGTACTTGTAGCTGAAAATTTTCCCAAGACACCCTAGCTGGGTGACAGTGGCCAATGTCCCCTCCTTCAGGGACACGTGCCACCTGGCTTCTCTTGTCTTCCAAGAGCCCTGGGTGTGGCCTGGGCCTCACAGCACGAGCCACCCGGGACATTCCTAACTGTGCGTCACCTCCCCAGGGCCATCCGCCTGACCATGCCTCAGCTGACACTTCAGGGGTCCTACGACCTGCAGGACCTGCTCGCCCAGACCAAGCTGCCCACCCTGCTGGGTGCCGAGGCGAACCTGGGCCAAATCAGCGATGCCAACCCCAGAGTCGGCAAGGTACCAGGAGGCCCGGGTCTGTCTCTCCCTGACGTGGGCTCTGTGTGTTCATGGAGTGGGAGGCTTGGCTGGGAGGGACACAGAGGAGGCTTTGGTTGTTGGGGGAGAGGGTGGAGAGGAGAGCATGGCCAGGTAGGTGGGCGCCTGGGGTGGAAGAGAAGTGACTGGAGCTTTCTGGGGCTTTCTGGGGACAGATGGAGAGAAGCGAAGCCCGCCCAGCAGTGCTGTGTGGCTCTGCCCAGCTCGGGCTGGCCTCGGGGGTCCTCCCCACATCCCGCAGCAGGGTCAGGACTAGGCTGGGAGAGTGAGTGCCCCTGGCCCAGTCACGCAGCTCCTGGCTTCAGGGAGACATTTGGCAGTAGACCAGCTGTCCCAGGGCCACATGGGACAAGGTGCCTCTGAACTGAGAAGTGCCTGGGCGCTGGGGGGAAGGGTGGCTTGCAGCCCTGGCCTCAGAGCTCTCTGTGCTAAGTTATTGAAACGAAGCAAGCACTGGTGGCTGGGGCCCAGGCGCCAGGGATGTGCTGGGGGCAGCAGGTGACAGGGGAGTGGGCGGGCTCAAGGGACACTTGGGGAGGAACAGCCATGTCCCAGGTAAGGGGCTGGAGAAGGCCTTCAGGACTGACCCTGAGGCGTGCTGCTTTGCAGGTGCTGAACAGCGTTCTTTTTGAACTAAAAGCCGATGAGGGAGAGCTGCCCACGGAGTCCGCCCTGCCGCTGGCTGGGCCCGAGGTCTTGGAGGTGACCCTGAACAGCCCGTTCCTGTTGGCCGTCTTGGAGCGCGAGTCGGCCGCCCTGCACTTCCTGGGCCGTGTGGCCAACCCGCTAAGCACCGCGTGAGGCCTGCCGCCAGGGCCACCAGGGTCACCACCCCAGCTCCGTCCCCTTCCACTGAGTCTGCCTGGAGCCGGAGAACAGAGATCCTCTCTGGGACCCAGTGCTGTTACAATGAGGAGCGGCCTCAGTCCTCAGGCTTCTGGGGGAAGGATGTTTAGCTGCTCCCGAGAGAGCTTGAACACACCTGTTCGTTTGTGAAACCCCCAATGGTTTCCGTTCTCATGGACAAATTGGGTTTTAAAATGAAAACATCCATTTTTTATTGCCCCAGGTTCACCTTTAGCTCACTGAGTGTGACAGGTGACCTGCAGGGGGTCCCACAATGCTGTCCTTTCTCTCGGTTGCTCAGTGTTTCTTTCCCCTGAGACTTGTGGTTTTTGAAAAACACATAACGAAAGTGTCTGAATGTGCATTAGATGTAATCCCACTGCTGATTATCCCTGTGTTATTAATAAATGTCTTGCAACCATTAGCAAAAAAGAAAAGGTCTTTGACTTAAGCAGCGGCGGGATAAACCTATGCGAGTTCGCTGACGGACTGTACCGACAAAAGGGCTTTCTAGGACGGGGAGCTGCGCTTTGGGCGGAGGCTCCCTGGAAGGCGCAGGCCGCCCTTAGTCCGGTCTGGAGGAGTCCCGGGTGCCGGTGACCGGCTGCGCGGACCCCACCAGGAAGGATTGGGGTGGGGAGGGCAGCCTGCACCTCTTCCTCCCGGAACACCAGCTGACTACTGCTCACGCTGGGCCCGGGAGCAGAGGATGGAGAAAGAAATCTTCACAAATGAACATCTGCACATCCCTATCTGTCTGCTGGGTGCCTGCTTGTCCCCGTGGGTCGGAGGGGTGGGACTAGACCCCCACCTTCTAAATCTCGGGCAGAGCCTGAAAGGGAGTGGGCCCCCACTGGCACGCCCTGCTTGCCCATAACCAAGAAGTGCTCGAAAGCATCCTCTCCGTAAGTATTGAAAGGACTAAGCAGGCTTGTAGTATGGCCACCGCTCACATGGGTCAGGGAGCACAGGAGGACAGGGGAGGGAGCTGGGAGTCATCGAGGGGTGGGAGTGGGGCAGCATCTGTGCTCTGCTTGCATGACGCTGCCCCTCCAGCCCTGGGGCTGGACCATTGCAGCCGCACTCCAAGGGGCCGGGCTCCTCTGGAGGGAGCAGGAGAATGGGGGTGGTCTGCTCCTCTGACTGAGGCCTGCAGCAACAGTGTCCTTCACATCTCAGCTTCTCCTACGCCCAAGTGCCTCCTCTGTAGTCGGAACACCTCTCCCTAGTTTTGATGTCAAGGGAGATGTCTGGTCCTTCCCACCTCTGGGGGTGTGGCCAGGCCTGAAGAGGCTGCTGGTCTGCGGTGCCAGGCACACGAGAGGCAGCGTGGCAGGTCCTCAGAGGTGTGGGTTCCAGAGATGGACGGGCTGGGCAGGCAGCCCAGCTGCAGCACCCACTTCTGTGTGACCCGGACCCAGGGACGCTGCTTCTCTGGGCCTCCCCACTCTTATTCGTAAAATGGGAGACACTTGAATGAATAAGCAAATAACCACCTCTTGTAGATGGTGCTTAACTCATAGAAGGATCATGACCTCCACGCTGTCTCAGAGTCCTGTTCCAGAAAGGCACAACAGCGATGGGAGTGTTTGTGGGCAACTGAGGCTAACTAAATAATGGAATCCAAAGATGCGCAGGTCCTAGTCCCTAGAACCTGTGAACGTGACCTGACGTGGCAAAGGGGGCTTCGCAGATGTGATTAAAGGTCCCGACATGCGGGGATGATCCCGGATTATCTGGGGAGGCCTGCAGTGCAGCCACATGTATCCTTGTAAGAGGAAGGGACAGGGAGGCTGGCAGACTAAAGAGATGAAAGGGGATGTGATGTTGGAAACTGGGTGAAAAGGTGATGCGACGTGACACGGGGTCATGGGGCAAGGAACAGGGACGGCCCCGAGAAGCTGGAAAGGAAAGGGACGGTTTCCTAGCCTCGAGCCTCCAGAGGGGCACGGGCCTGGGAGCAGATGAGACGTGCAGACCCGCAGGCCCCACCCAGACCTCCTGAGTCAGGATCTGGCTTTTTACCGGATGCCCGGGCACCACACTAGTTTAGCAGGCAGTGCTTTGAGCGGTGCTTGGAACCTCCCCTCCAAGAACAGGCTCCCGCCACCAGTCAGGCCCTACAACTCGGATTCAGGATCTCAAGGAGGTCTGATCTTCAAATCAGAGCTGCCCCCGTGGCACTTCCTTCTGTAACTCCTAAAACAACTGCAAACGGAAAACGGTTTTCTTTTTCGAAATATGTGCGGACTCTGGGCCTCAGAGCTGCTTTTTCCAAAAACACCCCCACAGAACACGCCTTCCTTCATGTGACAAATATCTGAGGGGCCCACCGAGTGCCCAGCTCTGTGCTGGGTGCGGGGATGCGGCAGGGAGCCCGCGGACCGTCCGGGATCTTAACTGGGGTGTTGACGTCACCCGGATGGACCTGAGGCAGCACTGACATGGCAGCTGAAGCAAAGGGAGTGTTTGTGTTTTAAATCTTATTTTAAAAAGCAACGGGCAGCAGATGAACGGCTTTGCTGGTCTCTGCTCCGGAGCTCTTTCTACATGGGAAGCTGGGTAGCAGCTTGCGAATTACTTAACAGAGAAGTATTAATTGTAGGGGTTTGTTGCTCTTAAGCATTTCTGCACCAAATCCTACGTCTTCCCGGCGTCGCAAGGTGCTCACCCAGTCACCTAGGTCTTGACTCAGCCAACAACAGTTACCTTTCCTCTGAGATCCTGACGGAGCAGGAACCCTGGGGCGTGGATGGATGAGGGATGTGTCTCACAGCCCATCAGAGCCCAAATCTTCTACTGACATTAGAAAATGGAAACATGTTTGCTTGCTACTGGTTTGGCAGTAGAGCCTAACCTGAACAGACACTAGGCTGTCACCAGAGGTATCAGACCCCGGGGCAGCCCTTTCCACAGGCAGGCTGTGCGACCGAGGTTCCCAGGTGGGCAGCTCCACGCCGTGGTTCTAGGGAGCTGCAAGGAATTACGGGCAAAGATCTGTAATGGGAGACTGACGTGTGGATCTGAAGAAGCTCCAAAATCCGTTTCCTGCTCTTCCTCCTGGTCACACAGCCGGGCTAGTTTCCAGCCCCTTGTGGCTGAGCGCTGGACACCAGGCACCGTCAGACCACCCTGGGGAGAAGTAACGTCTCTTGTGCTTGAGACCCCCTTTTGCTTCTGTATGTTACCAAGTAAAAAATAATGATAGTTTAACTGTAACGAAGTGCTACCTTATCTTTAAACCTCACTCAGTTATGATTCTCTAAAGCAAAGCCGATTAATAAAGCGTTAAACCAAAGGAGTCGTCTCAGGAAGCCAGAGATAGGTGTTCTGGAACATTTTGCTTCTTATTTAAAGATTCTTATTTCTTAAGCCGAGAAACAGACATGATGAGGTCAGGGATGTTGCCATCGTGAAACAAGCCTGGAAATGTGGTGTGACTGAGGTGAGGCCGGGCCTGGGGCTTGAGAGGTGCCAAAGGAATCAACGGCCCAGGTTCCAGTCCCGGATTATTAGCATTCTTCCCGTGCTCGTATTAGGAGAGGGAATTACCTAGTGGTGAATAAACTGGGGTCTGGACCCACCTTGTTTGGGTCTCAATTCCATTTATTAGTTCTCTCAACTCCTTTAAGTTTCTGTCTCTGCTCCCTCATTCTGCAAATTGGGAGTAACACTGATGGAACTGGAGAGGCTAACAAAACTGCATCCCTCTCCAGCATGATTTGAGAAAGGCAGAGCAGCTGGAGAGATGGGGACAGCACTGGAGTCTGTCGCTGACCCAGGCTGGGCTGGACAGAGCAGCTCGGCCACCTGACGCCGTAGCAGGTTGTGCTGGGTGAACCTGGCGGGGCGGGGCCGAGCCCTAGCTCCCCAGGGCATCCTCCCGGGTGTGGAGCGAGGTCAGTGCCAGCCTCCAGGGGACCCATGTGATGCGGAAGGGGCAGCAACACAGCGTGAGCAGGGTGCCCCGTCACACTGAGCCGTGGGCTCACGCCTTAACACGAGGCAGTGGGCACCCAAGGACCTCTTCCCTCAGCTTCTTCAAATCTTAGGTGTGTAGGCAGCTTGGAGACAGCACATCCGCAGTCACCCCATTGCTGAACGTGGAGACCTGCAGGCAGCAAGACTGGTGAGCTCTGTCCTGCCCTACGGATGCCAGCTCATCCCCAAGGGCCCCAGTTCATCCCTGAGGGCCCCAACTCGTCACCAAGGGTCCCAGCTCACCCCCGAGGGCCCTAAATCATCCTTGAGAGTCCCAGCTTAGCCCAGCTCTCTCCCCACCAGCCCGCTGCCCACGGGTCCAGCACCACACCAGGCATCACCGGCCTAGACTGGGGAGCAGCTCCCACAGCCAAGCGGGCTCAAACCTTTAGGATAAATCCTTTCCACTGGCTCATTGTTCTGTTCTTCTGACCCAGCTTCCTAATACTATGCAGAGTTAAGACACTCATCTGACCAGGGCAGGGCCTTCCTTACTAAGACCAGAGCACACGCTCTCCCCAGGGAGCGTACAGGCCAGGGCGCCACTCTCTGGAGGCTGGTCGCCTGGACAGAGTGTAAGCTGCCGCAAGACGACGAGGTGGGAAGCACCTGGCTCCTTCCCCCACCTGCCCAGGCGGCTCACAGCTCTCACGGGGCCCCTTCCTCCCCCTCCCACTTGTCTGGCTCTGCCCTCTGATTCCTGCTAACCCCCAGACCCGTGCTCCTGGCTCCCCAGCCCTTACTCTCCTCTCTCTCTCTCCAGCTAACCTGTGAGCAGAGACGGAGACAGAGGGACACAAAGCTGGAGGGACGCACACCTGCTCTCACATCACTGCCAGGTCGGTATGGCAATCAGCCAACCAAGCACACGCTTTCAGCCCCGCTTTCCAGTATTCCCAACTCCTCCCCCTCCCCCGTGGGCAGGAGCAGCCGGCTGGGAGGGGTGCTGCTGACCGCGGGTCACCGTCCCGGGGCCAGAACTCCCGCACACCTGCAGGACAGGGACAGGCCCTTCCGGGTGACAAGGAGGGAGTGCTGCACCCCCGGGCAGGACTTGGGGGCAGGATTTAACTTGTGCTGGACTCGCAGACAAGAGGTACACGTGCTTTTGGTGGATGCGTCTTTTACTCAGGAAATAAATCCCTCCTGCTGGTTGGAGCT